CTTGCCTTGAGATATTCGATCAACAAGGTAATCTGAATCTTACTTCCCTTGTAGTGATTTCTTATCATTTGGTATAAGAGCTTTCCCTTGGGCCAATTTCCTTATCATTTGGCATTAGAGCTTTCCCTTGGGCTGATTCCCTATCAAAAGCACACTCAACCTTGAAGTTCTACGAATGAGTCACGGAAAAGAAAGGTGCACCTTGTTGCTATAAGTAGTAACTTTAAATTCTTTTAAGCATTTTTTACTCATCATATCTTTAGGATCGCTCACTTCGAATATGGTGTTGGTTCATTCATGTACCTCTTATTTACGCGAGTGTCACAAATATACTAAAATCTATAAATTCCAAAAATTTCAAAAAACTTTCAAAAAAAAAATTTTCAAAAAAAAATTTTCAAAAGTGAGATGATATAAATTGGTTAGAATTGAATGGTTGCTGGCTGTTAGAGAGAAGGGATTTGAACATGCATGGAACTGACAGAAAATTAAAAAAAAGAAATTAAAACAAACACACACACCGACGAGAATATTACATGCAAGTTTCCATATTTATTGCATGGCTGTGTATGATCATCAAACTAAACCATTTAAAAGCTGCCCCCACATGAACAGTTTAACAACTTATTTTTGGAAACCCTTCTGAAAGTGAAGCAAACAAGAGGTTTTCAATATGAAACATCATATTGTTAGGGCAGCAATTCCCTTCCCCGAGGCTTTAGCCTTGATGATGAAATATTCTTTCACGTTCACTCCTTTATAAATGGGAGTCTGTAGAGTTTCACTCAATGGCTTACAATAAGGTGCTACGTATAAATGACCTGGTGGATGAAAGAAATATGCCATCGACATCGTAGTCTTCTCAGTCTCTCGTATCATCACCCGGTGAGGAACGCTATGAAACCGCCCGTTCGATATAATTTGGAGGAAATCGCCGATGTTAATAATGAGAGCGTCGCTCCTTGGAGCCAGCGGAAGCCAGCCATCTTTCTCGTTCAAGATCTGTAGCCCCTCTCTGCGTGCCTGGTGAAGCATGGTGAAGAGGGAGGTGTCAGTGTGGGCCGCGAGGCCAATGACTTTGCTTGGTTCAGGGCATGGAGGAAACGAGTTCAAGCGCAAAGCCAAGTGGGGTTTTCCGGTGGCCGGGTCGATGTAAGACAACTTCTTCACCATCTCTTCATCCGAGATGCCAAGAAACTTGAAGATTAAGCTTATTAGCTTATCAGCTAAAGCCTTCATTTTGAGTTGGTATTCTTCCATTTTATCACTTGATTAAAACAAAAACAAACAAACAAAACAAAAAAAAAAAAATCCAATTAGGACATATAAAAATGGTTGGGATTTAGAGTAATAATCACTTAAACATAAACCCTAAACCCTAATTGTGTACATGCATGAAAAAAGTTGCATGGATTTACCAGAACGGTTGGTAGTCCGATGGCCAGAGTTTCTTAAAATCATCAACCGGAGAACCTATGACGGTGAATCCTTCATGCCACATCATTTTGTCATGATGCTTCGTTAATCTGGCCATGCAGTAGCCGTTGGCAGTTCCGGGAACATTTAATGCCTTCATCTTTTGGTTTTGTGGAAGAGCGAAAAGACATCGAGCCACCTCCTCGGTTTCGGCTGTTAGGGTTTTCGGGATACCATGATTAATCAACTGAAACATTCCCCACTCCTCGCAGGCTTTCCCTATGAGCTCCAACACATTGTCATCGTTAAAATCGACAACCGGGATCGAGACCGTTTTGTCCGATTCGAACTTCTGCGATGATTCATCGAGGTGAGGCCATACGTGAGATTCAGGAACATCCTCAACTGTGTTGAGGTCCAGAGGAGTCAAAAGTCCTACGGCAGGAAGCTTATCCATATTTAGGTAGCTGCACACAAAAAGCCAATGAGATTAAGATCAAGGTATATTGAAATACTAAGCTTACTTCCAGCTTCAATTTATAAACTTAAAAAGTAGTAAATCAAGCTCACCATTTATGGAAGGATCGTTGCTTTTTTTTTTTTTAATGTTTAATTTATAAACTTAAAAAGAAGTAATAAATCAAGCTCACCATTTATGGAAGGATTGTTGCTTTTTTAAAGTAAGAAACAAAGAGAGTAATTTAAATTGCATGTTTAGAGGAGATTAATGTTATTGCAAATAAGATAGAAATAGGATAAGAATGGATTGTTATGGAAGGTAGTTTAGGTCTTTTTTTATAATTGATATGTCTTGGATGCATTGAATTAGGTATCGTTCAAAACGTGACATTTCCGACGAGCAATGAAGATCACGCAAGGTATCTAACTCACATGTTCCCTCAATTACCAAACTCTTTTCCATGCTTAGTAGTGCAACGCCCTTGAGAGAGGACATAACTTCCACATGAAAACCCTTTTCGTGAACTTTGCTGGCGCATGGTAACTTTGCGTCCCTAGCCATAATTAGCATCGTCGTGGTCTACGGTCGACAAACACATAGAATGGTCTATAGTCCTATGATGTTATGTTAGGTATGTTATGCGATGCCCTATTATGTCATGCTATGTCATGTCATGTGAAGCTGTTGTGTAGATTTATATTACACTAATGATAATGCATGATGAAAGCTATGACTAGTATTATGCATATACTATTGTGTTTTTGGCCCTTAATCCCAAATTAATTAATTTTAATTAATTAATTGACATTTTGATGATAACAAACCTACACTTAATTATTAACAATTATAAATATTTTGAATTGTCCAAAGTGTAAGGTTGGGAATAACGATTCCAAAAGTCTTTTTCAACCACTCAAATTAGAGCTAAAACAAATAAGTTTCAATCAAAACAAGATATATGATGATGTGGCCTAAAATTGACATCATGGACTAATCAAAGTATGACACTTATAAGTTTGGATGAATAACAAAGGGTGGAGTTTTCTATTACTTTTAAATAGAAATAAAATTATTTGAATTATAAAAATAAACTATTACTCATATTATTTTTATTAATATTTTTTATTATTATATTATTATATTTAAATATGTATATATAAATAATAAAAACGAATTTGAATGTTTTAATATTATATATATATATATATATATAAATTCCTATTTCTGCCACCTCTTCACCGTTTAAACTCATCTCTTCTCCATATTTTTAGCAACACCAAACATAATTTCTATTATTTGCCATCTAAATTTTTCTAAAGCCTCCATTCTTACTCTTGGTTAAATTTTTCTAAAGCCTCCATTCTTACCCTCGGTTAAATTTTTCTAAAGCCTCCATTCTTACTCTTGGTTAAATTTTTCTAAAGCCTCCATTCTTACCCTCGGTTAAATTTTTCTAAAGCCTCCATTCTTACTCTNGGATTTAGAGTAATAATCACTTAAACATAAACCCTAAACCCTAATTGTGTACATGCATGAAAAAAGTTGCATGGATTTACCAGAACGGTTGGTAGTCCGATGGCCAGAGTTTCTTAAAATCATCAACTGGAGAACCTATGACAGTGAATCCTTCATGCCACATCATTTTGTCATGATGCTTCGTTAATCTGGCCATGCAGTAGCCGTTGGCAGTTCCGGGAACATTTAATGCCTTCATCTTCTGGCTTTGTGGAAGAGCGAAAAGACATCGAGCCACCTCCTCGGTTTCGGCTGTTAGGGTTTTTGGGATACCATGATTAATCAACTGAAACATTCCCCACTCCTCGCAGGCTTTCCCTATGAGCTCCAACACATTGTCGTCGTTAAAATCGACAACCGGGATCGAGACCGTTTTGTTTGATTCGAACTTCTGCGATGATTCATCGAGGTGAGGCCATACGTGAGATTCAGGAACAGCCTCAACTGTGTTGAGGTCCAGAGGAGTCAAAAGGCCTACGGCAGGAAGCTTATCCATATTTAGGTAGCTGCACACAAAAAGCCAATGAGATTAAGATCAAGGTATATTGAAATACTAAGCTTACTTCCAGTTTCAATTTATAAACTTAAAATGAAGTAGTAAATCAAGCTCACCATTTATGGAAGGATCGTTGCTTTTTTTAATGTTTAATTTATAAACTTAAAAAAAGTAATAAATCAAGCTCACCATTTATGGAAGGATTATTGCTTTTTTAAAGTAAAAAACAAAGAGAGTAATTTAAATTGAATGTTTAGAGGAGATTAATGTTATTGCAAATAAGAAAGAAATAGGATAAGAATGGATTGTTATGGAAGGCAGTTTAGGTCTTTTTTATAATTGATATGTCTTGGATGAATTGAATCAGGTATCGTTCAAAATGTGACGTTTCCGACGAGCAATGAAGATCACGCAAGGTATCTAACTCACATGTTCCCTCAATTACCAAACCCTTTTCCATGCTTAGTAGTGCAACGCCCTTGAGAGAGGACATAACTTCCACATGAAAACCCTTTTCGTGAACTTTGCTGGCGCACGGTAACTTTGCTTCCCTAGCCATAATTAGCATTGTCGTGGTCTATGGTCGACAAACACATGGAATGGTCTATAGTCGTATGATGTTATGTTAGGTATGTTATGCGATGCCCTATTATGTCATGCTATGTCATGTCATGTGAAGCTGTGGTGTAAATTTATATTACACTAATGATAATGCATGATGAATTCTATCAATAGTATTATGTATATACTATTGTGTTTTTGGCCCTTAATCCCAAAATAATTAATTTTAATTAATTGACATTTTGATGATAACAAACCTACACTTAATTATTAACAATTATAAGTATTTTGAATTGTCCACGATGTAAAGTTGGAAATAAGGATTTCAAGGTATTTTTCAATCACTCAAATCAAAACTAAAATAAAGAAGTTTAAGTCAAAACAAGATACGTGATGATGATGTGGCCGCAAAATTGACATTATGGACCAATCAAAGTATGACACTTATAACTTTAGAAGAATAAGAAACGATGGAGTTTTCAATTACTCTAAAATAGAAATAAAATTATTTGAATTATAGAAATAAACTGTTACTCCTATTATTTGTATTAATATTTTTTATTATTATATTATTACATTTAAAAATATAAATGTAAATAATAAAAATGAATTTGAAATGTTTTAATATTTATTATATATATCTATATATTTATAAAACATGTGGTCACCTTTTTTAACCATAAATTTTTTTAAAAAAATTATTTTTAGTAGTCACGTTTAGTGATCTATATCAATTCTTATTTCTGCCACCTCTTCTAAATTCATCTCTATTCCTGTAGGAAAGAGTAGAAATTGTGAATCTTTTATTGTAGAGAGAAATTGTGACTCAAAGTGTGAATCTTAAGAAAGAGTAAAATAGTAAATTTACTCTTGATTTTAGGTACTTATATATCGATATGATCCTAAATCGTGAAAAGGATTGAGAATACTCTTGAATTCGTAAAAAGAGGGGTGTAGCGGTTGGACAGTTAGCGGTTGGACTCTATTCCAAGAAAAGAGTTGAGAAAGGTTTATTCAAATTCCCAATAGGCACTTGATGAGTGGAGTAGGTCGAGTTTGACCGAACCACTCTAAAATAATGGTGTTATATTTTCTAACTCTAACTCTTTCATATTTAATTACGAATTTTGAACTATTTTAGTGTATTAATGGTCATATTCTAATTATTTTTTTAAAAAAAATCATAATTAGAAAATCTAATCATATTTAAATATTATTTTATTGTTAAAACCCTATTTACCCCTCTAGGATTGCCATACGAATCCAATATATACGACTTGTATGTTTATTATGACACAAAAGGAAGAATGAATTGTTTCTTATTAAATGTTGTGATTAAAAGTCACGAGGATCTCATGCATTTACGAGTGTCATGGGTATCAGGATACTTCCATGTTACGTTATATTAAATTGGACGCGTAACTTTGATATTTATGTTTGTCAAGATATTATGCAAGTCTTTTCTTATGTGGTCTACTCATCTAGTGGGTTCATGTGCACGTGTGTGGGAAAATATCACATGTTCAATCCTAGACTGAAAAGATCTCAAGGCCATGCTATGATGTTTTAAGAAGTATATGTACTATTATGTATGCGTATGTTTGTACATTTTTATAATTTTTCATGGAATAGAGCATTTGTATGAGAATTTAACATTTAAAGCGATAGAACCTTTCAGATAGGATCAAAACACATATCGATGCACGTTTTTTCTAAAAAATATTGCAGAGTAATTGAAGATTAGAAGAGAAGCCTCAAAATCATAGTAGATATTAGCAACTTATAATATAGTTTAATATTAGGAATTAATTATGAATTAATTCACTAGATTATTAACTGTATTTAATTAAAATTATCAAATAATAACTTAAACTAATTGAATTAGATTATCATTTTTCCATATTTTACTGTTTAGACTTTGTAATTATAGAAAAATTAATGTTTAATTACAGAAATGAAACGCATAAATGATGATTTTGAAGAGATTTCGAGAACCATTTTTGCTTGTATCGGATTTAATGGTGTCTTAAAATAACATAATCTTATTTAGGTCAATTAAGGGTCTAATGAAATTCCATATTTTGTAATAAGAATGTTTTTTTTGGGAAGGTTTATTTTTAGTGTTAAAATACGCTTTGGCCGACCTACATTTTTGAGTTTCCACTCCCTAAATTTGGTGGGCATAGTACTTAATTTAGGGGCACAGCTTGAATTAACCTCGTCACTTTTGTTGTCTTTATAAAATTAATAATTTAGTCTCTAAACCTGAGTTTTTATGCCAAATTAATCAAAGTATGTTCAAGTTTATAATGATTTTTTTAATTTATACATTAACCATTTAATCCCTATGTTTAAAATGGATAACCATTTTGTCCATATTATATATATATATATATAAATATAAACTATTAATATTATGTGACAATCTTTATACGTTATTAGTGTCTTTGGAGCTTAAGAACACAATTAATGGGTAAGAAATTTCATATTATTTCAACCATAATTTTCATGATAAGGACTTAATTGTTATAAATTTTAAAATATAAATACTAAATTGTTATAAAATTGGTTATAAACTAAGTTAGTGGACTAATGGAATGCATCCTAGTGTCTCATATCCATCAACTTCTGCCTTAGTTGATCTCCGAACCACATTTTAGTGAGAGAGGTATCACTTTAATAACATTTTTTATGACCCATGCTAGGATTCGGATCAGGATTTAGAATTCAGATATGACATACATTCCCTTTTTGAGAGTGAAGACTATCCACATAGATAAATTTTTTCAGAATATTTTGTCCCCACTCACATGCATCTTAGAAAAATTTTCATAAGGTCACCCATCATAGAATTGCTTCAAGTAAAGCTGATATAACAAAAAGACATCAATCATACAATATATTTCAATGAAGATGTGAAGAAAAAATGTTGTTGAGATTATCATAAGACATTTCAATTCATGCCACATTGAAGAAGAATGAAACTTGATTGTTATAAGTTTTTGGTAGATTACAATTTAGAGTAATTTAGAGTTATTGTATTTCATTAATGTATTTCATTAATGTATTTTAAGACTTTTTATTTACTTTAAAGTTACATTTACATAGTGACTAATTATAGTCCTAAAGTATGAATGTTACAACTCTTATATAAAGCCATATGTTAATTTTGTAAGATAGACTTGGAAAAATGTAGTAAAAGGAGCCTTTGTGCTTTCCCTTAGCCAATGACTAAATTTCTTTGCAATTCTATGTAATTTAGGTTGCATATAGAATCATTTAAGTTTGACATGATAAATCTTACTTGTGGAGTAATTCGAATCTCAAACAAGTGTTCTTGCCTTGAGATATTCGTTCAACAAGGTAATCTGAATCTTACTTCCCTTGTAGTGATTTCTTATCAATTGGTATCAGGGCTTTCCCCTGGGCCGATTTCCTTATCATGTGGTATTAGAGGTTTTCCTTGAGCTGATTCCTTATCAAAAGCACATTCAACCTTGAAGTTTTATGAAGGAGTTACCAAAAAGGAAGGTGCACCTTGTTTCTATAAGTAGTAACTTTAAATTGTTTTAATCATTTGTTAGTCATCATATTTTCAGGATAGCTCACATTTGAATATGGTGTTGGTTTATTCATATACTCTTATAGTGTCACAAATATACTAAAATGTATAAATTCCAAAAATTTTAAAAAACATTAAAAAAAAAAAAAAATTTTCAAAAGTGAGATAATATAAATTGGTTAGAATTGAATGGTTGGTTGGCTGTTAGTGGGAAGGGATTTGAACATGCATGGAAATGACTGAAAATTAAAGGAAAAAAAAAAACACATACACACGAGAATATTTGGTACAAGTTTCCATATTTATTGCATGGCTGTGTATGAACATCAAACTAAACCATTAAAAAGCTGCCCCCACATGAACAGTTTAACAACTTATTTTTTGGAAACCCTTCTGAAAATGAAGCAAACAAGAGGTTTTCAATATGAAACATCATATTTTTAGGGCAGCAATTCCATTCGCGTTGTTTTGAGCCTTGATGAGGAAATATTCTTTCACGTTCACTCCTTTATAAATGGGAGTCGGTAGGGTTTCACTCAATGGCTTACAATAAGGTGCTACGTATAAATGACGTGGTGGATGAAAGAAATATGCGATCGACATCGTAGACTTCTCAGTCTCTCGTATCATCACCCGGTGAGGAATACTACTAAACCGCCCGTTCGATATAATTTGGAGGAAGTCGCCGATGTTAATAATGAGAGCGTCGCTCCTTGGAGCCAGCGGAAGCCAGCCTTCTTTCTCGTTCAAGATCTGTAGCCCCTCCCTGCGTGTTTGGTGAAGCATGGTGAAGAGGGAGGTGTCAGTGTGGGCTGCGAGGCCAATGACTTTGCTTGGTTCAGGGCATGGAGGATACGAGTTCAAGCGCAAAGCCAAGTGAGGTTTTTCGGTGGCCGGGTCGATGTAAGACAACTTCTTCACCATCTCTTCATCGGAGATGCCAAGAAACTTGAACATTAAGCTTATTAGCTTATCAGCTAAATCCTTCATTTTGAGTTGGTATTCTTCCATTATATCACTTGATTAAAAAAAAAAATTAAACATAAGATTGTTGGGATTTAGAGTAATAAACAGTTAAACATAAACCCTAAACCCTAATTGTGTACATGCATGAAAAAAGTTGCGTGGATTTACCAGAATCGTTGGTAGTCCGTTGGCCAGAGTTTCTTAAAATCATCAACCGGAGAACCTATGACGTTGAATCCTTCATGCCACATCATTTTGTCATGATGCTTCGTTAATCTGGCCATGCAGTAGCCGTTGACGGTTCCGGGAACATTTAATGTCTTCATCTTTTGGCTTTGTGGAAGAGCGAAAAGACATCGAACCACCTCCTCGGTTTCGACTGTTAAGGTTTTCGGGATACCATGATTAATCAACTGAAACATTCCCCACTCCTCGCAGGCTTTCCCTATGAGCTCCAACACATTATCGTCGTTAAAATCGACAACCGGAATCGAGACCAATTTGGCCGATTCGATCTTCTGCGATGATTCATCGGAGTGAGGCCATACGTGAGAGTCAGGAACAGCCTCAACTGTGCTGAGGTCCAGAGGAGTCAAAAGACCTATGGGATGAAGCTCTGCCATATTTAGATAGCTGCACAGAAAAGCCAAAGAAATTAAGATAGAGGTATATTGAAATACTAAACTTATTTCCTGCTTCAATTTATAGAAGTAGTAAATCCAGCTCACCATTTATGGAAGGATCGTTTCTTTTTTTAATGTTAAGTTTATAAACTTAAAAAGTAGTAAATCAAGCTCACTATTTACGGAAGGATTGTTGCTTTTTTAAAGTAAGAAACAAAGAGAGTAATTTAAATTGAATGTTTAGAGGAGATTAATGTTATTGCAAATAAGAAAGAAATAGGATAAGAATGGATTGTTATGGAAGGTAGTTTAGGTCTTTTTTTTTATAATTGATATGCCTTGGATACATTGAATCAGGTCTCGTTCAAAACGTGAGATTTCCAATGAGCAGTGAAGATTACGCAAGGTATCTAACTCACATGTTCCCTCGATCACCAAACTCTTTTCCACGCTTAGTACTGCAACGCCCTTGAGAGAGGACAAAACTCCCACATGAATACCCTTTTCGTGAACTTTGCTGGCGCACGGTAACTTTGCATCCCTAGCCATAATTTGCATCGTTGTGGTTTACAGTCGACAAACACATAGACTGGTGTATAGTCCTATGATGTTAGTTATGTATGTTATCCGATGTCCTATTATGTCATGCTACGTCATGTCATGTGAAGCTGTGGTATAGATTTATATTACACCTAATGATAATGCATGATGAAAGGTATGACTAGTATTATGCATACTATTGTGTTTTTGACCCTTAATCTCAAATTAATTAATTTTAATTTATTAATAGATGTTTTGATGATAACAAACCTACACTTAATTATTAACAATTATAAGCATTTTGAATTGTCTTGAGAATAACGATTTCATGGTCATTTTCAACTACTCAAATCAGAGATAAAGAAGTTTCAATTATCTTAAATAGAAATAAAAAAATAAACTGTTACTCCATTATTTTTATTATTATTATATTATTACATTAAAAAAAATATAAATAATAAAAATGAATTTGACATGTTTTAATATATATAAAACATGTGGTCCACCTTTTTAACCACAAATCTTTTAAAAAAAAAGTTATTTTTAGTTGTCCACGTCTCACTTTTTAGTAATCTATATCAATTCCTATTTCTACCACCTCTTCATCTCTTCATGTTTAAACTCATCTTTTCTCCATAGTTTTTACAACAAAATACACCATTTTTATTATTTGTTCCATCTAAATTTTTCTGAAGCCTCCATTGTTTCTCTTTGTTGTCTGTTGTAAGTAAATAGTTGCAAAGATATAGATAGAGAAATTGTGAATCTACTCTTTTAAGAAAGAGTAGAAATTGTGAATCAAATTGTTAATCTACTCTTTTAGAGAGAAATTGTGAATCAAATTGTGAATTTACTCTTGTAGGGAGAAATTATGAATCAAGTTGTGAATCTACTAGTAGATAGAAATTACGAATCAAATTGTGAATCTATCCGTATAGACAAAAATTGTGAATCAAATTGTGAATGTAGGGTTTTAGAGAGAAATTGTGAATCTACTCTTTACTCGAAAGAATAGAAATTATAAATCTATTCTTTACTCTCTTACGAAAGAATAGAAATTGTAAATTTACTCTTTACTTGAAAAAATAGAAACCGAGAGAAATTGTGAAACAGAGAAATTGGGAATCTACTCCTCTGCAAAAGAGTAGAAATTGTGTAAATATTTTTTTTTTTGTAAGGAAGGAGTAGAAATTGTAAATCTACTCTCTTAGGAAAGAGTAGAAATTGTAAATTTACTTTCTTATAGAGTTGTGGTACGTTACTACAAAATTTAGACACTTATATTGGTATGATTCTAAACCGTGAAAAAGATTGAGTTCACTCTTGAACTCGTAAAAAGAGGGGTGTAGCGGTTGGGCGGTCCAGTGGTTGGACTCTGTTCCGAGAAAAGAGTTTTCTTACTCTTAACTCTTTCATATTTAATTTCGAAATTCTTATTAAGATTTATTGCATGTTTTAAGTTTTTTTTATATGGTTTATTGTTATTTTTTGAACTATTTTACTGTATTAATCGTCATATTCTATTTATTTTTAAAAAAATCATAATTAGAAAATCTAATCATCAATGTTTTGGGGGCGAACCTTGTGGAGGAACCCTTAGGTTTTTTGGGCATTGGATTCTCACCAATGTTTGTGTTACTCAAGCCAACATTCTCGCTTCCGCTTCGTCCACCACTACTGGCGCGCATGCTTCCCTCTAAGGCGGAACGCTCCTCTATTGATGCAATTTTGCATCCCACAGCTTTGACATATCGCTTAGTCTCGTTCATTTTCAGCACAAGAGCGCTCGATCAGTGAGCTATTGCGTACTCTTTCAAGGGTGGCTGCTTCTAGGCAAACCTCCTGGCTGTCTCTGCACTCCTACCTCCTTTATCACTGAGCGGTTATTTAGGGGTCTTAGCTGGTGATCCGAGTTTAAATATTTTTATTGTTAAAACCCTATTTACTACCCCTCTAGGATTGCCATACGGATCCAATAAATACGACTTGTATGTTTATTATGACACAAAAGGAAGAATGAATTGTTTCTTATTAAATGTTGTGATTAAAAGTCACGAGGATCTCATGCATTTATGAGTGTCATGGGCATTAGGATACTTCCCTGTTATGTTATATTAAATTGGACGCGTAGCTTTGATATTTATGTTTGTCAAGATATCATGCAAGTCTTTTCTTATGTGGTCTGCTCGTCTAGTGGGCTCATGTGCACGTGCGTGAGCCGTGTGTGGAGAAGTATCACATGTTCAATCCTACCTGGACTGAAAAGATCTCAAGGTCATGCTATGATGTTTTAAGAAGGATATGTACTAATGTATGCGTATGTTTGCACGTTTTTATAACTTCTCATAGAATAGAGCATTTGTACTAGAATCTAACGTTTAAAGGGATATAACCTTTCGGATAGGATCAAAACACATATCCATGCACGTTTTTTTTTTAAATATTGTAGAGTAATTAAAGATTAGAAGAGAAGCCTCTGAATTAGATTAGGACAGTGCTTACAGTGATTTTGTTCCCCAAAGTCAGTTAATACTTTTGAACTCTTTCATCTTACTTTTGAGCATCAGAGTAGATAGTAGCAACTTATAATATAGTTTAATATTAGGAATTAATTATGAATTAATTCACTAGATTATTAATCATATTTAATTAAAATTCACAAATAATAACTTAAACTAATTGAATTAGATTATGTTACAAAAATTTAATTTGCTCTCTAGACTTTGAAATTATAGAAATATTAATGTTTAATTACAGTAATGAAACGCCTTGGGGAATCATTTTTGTTTGTATCTAATTTAATGGTACCTTAAAATAACATAATCTTATTTCGTGGTCAATTAAGGGTCTAATGAAACCATACAAACCACTTGAATTATTATTATTATTATTATTTTAAATATATAATTCCATATTTTGTAATAAGAATGTTTTTCTCGGAAGGTTTATTTTTAGTATTAAAATAAGCTTTGGGGGACATACATATTTTTGAGTTTCCACTCCCAAATTTTGGAGTTTAAGAACACATTTAATGGATAATCATTCATGGATGTGTAAGAGATCTCATTTTATTTCAACCATAAGTTTCGTGTAAGAACTTAATTGTTATAAATTTGAAAATATAAATACTTAAGTGTTATAAAATAGGTTACAAACTAAGTTAGTGGTCTAATGGATTGTTACATGCATCCTAGTATCTCATGTCTATCAACTTGTGTCTTAATTTATCTCCGAACCTAAAACAACTCTAAATTTTCTCATATCTAGAGTCGTCACTAACGTCTTATGCTCATCTCTAATATAGAATATAACTCTAAGAATGCTTATCTTTATTAGCGGAAAAATTTAAAACATCAGAATACGTTAAAATATTAGAAAATACTGCCGGACTTACGTGTTTCAAACATCGTGCTGGATAAAACTTACTTGTTTCAAACATCGTGCTGGAGTTCAAAATAAGATAAAACAATTACAAATTAAATAATTTAAATAAATGAAATGCAAACACCCCATCCGAACCAAAACTAGGAATTTTAAATATGCAACTATCCTATGCACGCGCTACAGTCTTTGATCACAATGTCGCCCTCAACTGTACATGGGCGCCTTGCTTTTACCTGAAAAACAATATGACACACGGCCTGAGTATTTCGAAGAAGAAATACTTAGTAAGTGACCCCATTATAGAGTCCATGCTAATGCAAACACATGCAATCATGAATTAGGGACCTATCTCTAATCATCATAAGAATAGCCTCCAGTCTCGGACAAATTGGATGTGTAGTACTTCCCTACACACGACTCACACGTGCTAATGTGAATCCCCAAGGTGCTCGCACACACTCTGAACCCTCTGGTCAAGCTAATCTGTAACGACGTTCGGAGGTCAGCGGAACCCCATAGTGTCATGCGCCTCATGAACACCCTCATCTGTGTGCATTTGCACCTATGCGCATTCGCGCTCATCATACGATGTGCGTCCGCACTCATCATCTCTAGGGGAAGTAGCCCTATGCTTATGAACATACAATATGTATGAGGTCCCTCTAAGTCCAACTATACATCTCTTCTGACACAACCCTCTAGTCTCATCTCTTGGTTATCCTACGTAACACGTGCTCGTGGATATTTACATTAATATCATTTTCATACTCTTAGGGTTGTGTCCTATGTCGATCTAACGACATGATGCAATATGGCAAACAACATCGTAAGGCATGTTCAACATAGAAAACATCATCATGTTAATAACATCGTCATGCATATATCATACTCATCATAGAAGCCATTAAGTGCATCAAATATAACATGTACGTCATGCATCGAAATATAAATAACGTACAAATAACATACAACACAACACAGCGTCATACTCATACATCATCATAAATCAAACAATACTTAGCCTATCCTATAGTAAGGCCACTTACCTGTTTGGCCTTAGCTGGAGTACTCCTTAATTTATTTAACGTCAGCTCCCATTCCTCGAGAACTACACCAAATGTTGCCAAGGTTTGCTTCCTATTGCATCGTTAGTCACCTTTTGTTAGTATTTCACATTTTAATTAATAATCCAACTAACCGTGTGAAAAGACGACCTCAATAAAAATAAATTTCATGTTTTCATTGTTTCTAAATTGTATTGGATAATAAAACTTAAAACTTAAATTAAAGATAAAAGCTGCTTGAATAATTCAACGTTTAATATTAAATCCTATGATACAAATATAATAATTCTTTCTCACTTTATTTTTATTTCTCTTCTAGGTTCAATTTTAATTATGTTTACATTATTTGCCATTATTAATCAAATTTGATTTGATTTGATTCCAGAAGCTATTTTCAACTGATTCTAATTTTCTAACCAATTTAAATGGTTGATTCTCTTTCTTATCTATATCTCTTTCTTGTTTTTGTTGGGGAAGTATCTAACTCAGATGCACCAGATAATTTCTAATTGAGATCTAAATAATGGTTAATACCTTCAATAAAAAGGAAAAGGTAAATCTGACAACTAACTTCTCAAAATGACATCTCTGTCCCTTTATCTTCCCTTTATCTTCCCTTTATCTTCCCTTTATCTACTTAACCATCTTTCCATTATCTCCCTTTATTTTAGATCTCTACATTATTGTCTAACCATCCCTCATTTAAATATTTTCTTTCTGTTTTTGTTTGGATTGGGAGGGGCTAGAGAGTAAAAGAGAGGTGGTCAGTTTTTTTTCTTCTTTATTTTGTTATTTTTATTTTAATATATATATATATATATATATTAAAACTAAGAGGGCATAACCACATTTTAGTGAGAGAGGTACCACTTTAATAACATTTGTTATGAACTATGTCCAGGATTCGGATAAGGATTTAGAATTCATATACAACATACATTCCCTTTTTAGAGTGAAGAACATCCACACAGATAAATTTTTTCAGCATATTTTATCCACATTCATATACATCTTAGAAAAATTTCCAAAAGGTCACCTAACATACAATTGTTTCAAGTAAAGCTGATATAACCAAGAGACATCAATCACACAACATACTTCAATGAAGATGTGAAGAAGGGAATGTATGTTGTATATTTTTGGTGGATTACAATTTAGAGTTATTGTATTTCATTAATCTATTTTAAGACTTTTTATTTACTTTAAACTTACATTTATGGCTAATTATAGTCCTAAATTATGACTCTCACTACTCTTGAGGCATTATAAAGTCATACGTTAACTTTGTAAGATAGACTTGGAAAAATGTAGGAAAATGAGCATTTGTGCTCAGGCAATGACTAAGTTTCTTTGCAGTTGTATGTAGTTTAGGTTGCATGTAGAATCATTCAAGCTTGACATGATCAATCTTCCTTGTAGAGTGATTCGAATCTCAAACAAGTGTTCTTGCTTTGAAA